TTTTTATAGAAAAGCAAATTTCTTAATTAGCACCTTTTTTAGCCCTTCAAGAGTATATTACAATGATAATAATAATAACACTTGTAAAACTTAAGTCTAAATCGAAATATATCGAACATTCATGGATATATAATAAACGTTCCTCGTTAGTCAACTTAGTTATCAACACATGAGAAGTGACGTTATCTCCTATGTTAGTTTTAATCAGTTGTCTAAGTAATCAGTGTCGGATCACATTTAAGAACGTCTGTATTATCAATCTTGATGGAACGTTTTCAGTCACACGTTTTCTCGAATATTAAGATCACAGGCCTAACATGTTACTGCCAACGAGGCCTTTCGTTCAATACTAAAACTCGTCAGCTGGATTGGACGATGAGAGATAGACGTCTAATTTTAAAGTTGATCAATGAAGAAGAATATGTGTAAAAAAACACACCAACAAGCCTGTTCTCTAAGTTATTTTTATCACAAATGTTAGGGCTATTGGTTTCCAACGCTTCGCCAGTTTTCGGTGTTTAAATGTCAATATTCATCACAGTTTCAATACGAGTTAAGTATCCGTAAATTTCACGTTATTCAACCTAAGGAACGATAAATAAATGTCCACCAATAATATTACAGTGGTAGCTGTCGTATCTTGACGTTTGTTTCGAATTACGCGCAAAGCTACTCGAGGGCTATCTGCGCTAGCCGTCCCTAAAGTTTGAAGCGACAGATTAGAGCTAAGGCAGCTAGTCATCACTATCCACCGCCAACTCTTGGGCTACTCTTTTACTAACGAATAATGGGATTGACTATCACACTATAGCACTCCCACGGATGAAAAGGCGAGCACGTTCGGGGACGGGATTCTAACCCACAGCCCTGAGACTGCAAGTCGAGTACCCTAACTCCCAGACCATGTCCAGCCAGGCATCTTATTACTAGCAAACATAATATACATATCTATAAAGAAACAAGTTTGGGAAATTTATTAATTTTCTGTAGTTATATCAAATCAATTTATTATGAAGACAGAAATGTTCCTTACATTTTGCACAGTATTTAAAAAAACCTGTTTAATGTACACCTCACGGTCATGAATAATTAGTTAACTTTGGTTGAAATAGTGGAAAAATAAAAAAAAATATTTTCTTGCAACATCTTAAACAGAAGAGAAACCTAATAATTAACCCTGCCGATTGACTGATCATAAACGTGAAGAGAGATTTTATAAGCAAACAAACTAAACAGGACAATACAGGCCTAATGACACAACAATACTTACAGGCTGACTTGTTGGCTCGGGATCGTCTGCTTTCAAACAATTGTCGCGCCATCTACCCGCTGAAAATTATTGTATAAATAATTTTGTTTGTGTTTATTCTTCTTAACGATCAGGCCTCGTCTTGTAGCTTTTTTTTTTATAGTAACTGTAATATAATTCAAATAAAATTTTTATACTATTTTAGACATTCAAGATTAGAGATGATTTTATTTAACAATTATTATCTTAAAGAAACTCTACTATATTCTTTTAATTCTAACTTTGTAATATTTGTTAACTGGTCATTTTATTTTCGGGTAATTTATGTTCTCAGAAGACAATTGAAATGTACTACTGTATTTCGTTTAGTATGTAATAGAAATGTCTGTGACGTCATTCTTAGAGATTCCTGTCATTGATAGAAGTTTTTAACATCAAAAACGAGCATCGGCAAGACAAAAAATAGTAAAGCGTTTTAATATTTTAATCAGAAAATCGGGCTCTGAATCTGCTTTGGTATTCACTTTATTCAGAACATTTTAAATCTAGTCGTGAGAAGAACATTGAGTTGTTGGAACTGGTTCAGAGGAGGACAACGAGGATAGGACAGGTTAAGATATCTGAAATTGTTTTCTAAACTCCCCTAAACAACAACAAACAGTTGAAGAGTATTGGATTGAGGTGTTTAAAACTCTTAAAGAAATTAGTAGTCGGCAAATCTTGTCAAAAATGGCGGATTACAGTTTAGGCTGTGAATCAAGCAAATAGAAAAACAAACAAACAAAACATGACAAGTTGATAAACCGAATCCAGTCTTAAGGCAAATAAAGTATTCCGTATACCACCTCGTTCTAGCGGTTAGTGTGGATAAACTGTGAATTCGTGGTTCGTGTCCCGTTGCTGAATATGATAATAATAATAATAAACGTTCCACGTTCTGGTTAGCAGTGGGTGGTATTGAATGGTTCAACATTAGGGACTGACATGCGCAGACAGTCTTTCTGCAACGTTGCAACGAATATTATGTTTATATAATCATCTTAAGTTTATACAGAGACAGACAGACAGTTTAGATGTATAGAAACATGTAATATATAAGAACGTTTTAATATTTTTAATTTATGCTACTATACACTAGTTTCTTTTTAACAGATTGGTGTAAAAATAAAAATAAACAAACCTACAAGTTAGTCTCACGAACAGAATGACGCAGAAATTTCTGGATTTAATGAGACCAAAATATCACAAAGGCTAAAATAAAATACACGATATTTGTAACTCGGAATAAACCGTTTTGTAAGAAGTCCAATCATTTATCATTGTTACATTTCCAATTCAACTAACGTATAAGCCACGCCCAACTTTGAGCAAATGGCATTTCTATACACACACATTGGTCTCGAAATAAAGCTATTAAAACAACATAGCGATCACGTTTCTGCGTGGCCAAATCGTTCTTTTGTAGAAGTTGAACTTCCGAAACGAACTTGCTTGAAAGTCAGAATCTCGTCCTGTCACGTGATTTTTTAGTTTGTTTGTTTTTTTTTCTTCGTCCGAATTATTTCGTTCTGTCTCTGACAAAACAACAATTAGGAGAATAAGAAAGACATCGCTGTCAAATGACAAAGATGTGAAAATATATATATATATATATATATGCATGTTAAGGTACAAGTGCTCCTCCCCCCCTCTCCCTCAAAAAATGTTTTTGTGTTTATGGGATAGCTACTAAGGCTATCTGCCACCGTCCAAAATCAACGCCAATGGGTTCATTGTCACTCTTATAACGCTCCTAAAGTTTAAGTGCCGGGGATACTTTACGATATCACACGGCAAGTTCCAAGATCCAGAGCTGTAACGTTGGGCCAAACAGCACCCCCTCCCCCAAACAAAGTAATTGATTTTTTTTTTGCAATCATGAAAATCATTAGTACAAAACCTGAAGAGAAAAACATTAATGTATAAGTGACATGTTGATGTTCAAAGTTATAAATATATATATACTGTTGTATATAGAGAGACAAACATAATTCAGTTAGGCCTTCGTTGAGAAAAAAACAGAATTGGAAATTTTGTCATAGTAATAAAATTAAACTCAGATTTTGTTTTTACTGCCAAGCTCTGTCAAACAGCAAAGAAGCGACACAGTACGTCAGAGAGTTGGTAAGAAGCGACACTGTTCGTCAGAGAGTTGGTAAGAAGCGACACAGTACGTCAGAGTGGTCGGTAAGAAGCGACACAGTACGTCAGAGTGGTTGGTAAGAAGCGACACAATACGTCAGAGTGGTTGGTAAGAAGCGACACAGTACGTCAGTGTGGTTGGTAAGAAGCGACACAGTACGTCAGAATGGTCGGTAAGAAGCGACACGGTACGTCAGAGTGGTTGGTAAGAAGCGACACAGTACGTCAGAGAGTTGGTAAGAAGCGACACAGTACGTCAGAGTGGTTGGTAAGAAGCGACACAGTACGTCAGAGTGGTTGGTAAGAAGCGACACAATACGTCAGAGAGGTTGGTAAGAAGCGACACGGTACGTCAGAGTGGTTGGTAAGAAGCGACACGGTACGTCAGAGTGGTTGGTAAGAAGCGACACAGTACGTCAGAGTGGTTGGTAAGAAGCGACACAATACGTCAGAGTGGTTGGTAAGAAGCGACACAGTACGTCAGAGTGGTTGGTAAGAAGCGACACAGTACGTCAGAGTGGTCAGTAAGCTTGTAAAGTTTGGGTAATAAGAGAGATTAGAACCTTTGACTCAGGATCACTATCAGAACATGTTTTTGTTTTTTGTCCCCCACGTGAATAGTATTTCAATTAACATAATAATAATAAATAAACTAAAAACATGGAAAATCTTTTAAATATAAAGTATTCGTATATTTTACAAAAGAAACGTGTTCGGATAATTTATTGCTGTAAGTACCCAGAGACCTTGGACATAAAATAAGCTTGCTTCAAGTAATCTCGGTGCAGGTTGTTTGAACATACATTTCTATGGTCAGATCATTATACGTCACCTTTCACAATCTTTCTCATTTTCATATATATTGAATCCGCCCCTATTTCGAATGTCATGTACGTTGAAACTGTTTTGTGATAATTGTCTGTGTCACGAACTGCCGTACAGAACTCCAAGCCGTATTTCACCAGTGTCTGATTACATTGCAGGCGAGTTAAATATGGATAAATAGACATTACGAAATTTGACGTAGTTATCAGGATAACAATATAGTGTTCAGTATTACTACAACAATACGGTGTTCAGTCTTATTATAACAATACGGTGTTCAGTCTTACTATAACATTACAATATTCATTCTTACTACAACAATATAGTGTTCAATCTTATTATAACAATACAATATTCAGTCTTATTACAACAATACAATATTCAGTCTTATTACAACAATACAA